TAAATAATGGAAAATTTATTCAGTAAATAATAATTAGAAATGTAATTAAAAATGTTAAATACACGCAACGCTTAAATCCAGAATTGATATTCTAAATCCGCGCATATTTGTCAGTAATCTTTATGATTAATTATCATATAGTATTTGAGTTTAGTAAGTGAATTTAGTAACTATAACATAAATTTAAAAAATATAATTATAGGAATCGCCTTTAATAACGTATTCTTGTCGTAAGCCCGGTTATACTAGTGTTTGGAATCGCATACCAAAATCCGTACACGTAACATTTACTTAAAAGTAATAAATTCAAGTATGTCTTCTACCTTTCATAATCTGTCCTTATATTTTTAAAAGTAAAGCTCAAGAAAATTTTTTAGGGAAGCATAATACATTTACCAGTGATGGAAAGGTTCCAATGCCAGTTCCAAAACCGATGCAGTTCAAGGTAAAGGTCTGGGACAGACCGGTAAAGGTCTGAGACAAATTTGAACTCGATTTCAAATAAGGTAAAACCTAAAATAAATGATTAGAATTATTAATTGTGTTTATTGAAGTAAAGTTAATAAAAAATCATAATGCCGAAACCATCAAACATGATTCAGACGCAATGTTAGAAAAAGTTTGCTTTCTGAAGAAAATTTTTGGTTTATTCTATAGATAATGGATTTATAATTAGCATAGGCAAACTATAAAGTAATTATTTCAGAGTGGTATTTATTTGGGCATTTAGGACGATTTAATAAAAATATTAGGGGAGAAAAATTAAGAGATTCAATAAATTATCTTTTAATAATAATATTTTAGTTTATTTTCATTGTAACAAAGTTCATTCCATTTAAACTCTAATGTTCTTAAGTATTTTCCATTTAGCAAGACATAAAAATAACAAATCCTCTAAACTATGGTTAGACACCGTCCCTTCTAAACCCAATAATTCAAATCCCGATTGGATCTGCCAGTCTATCCCCGATCATGACCAATCTCTCTATCTTCTAACCCTAACCCCGAACGATCTTATCGAACTCGACCCCGAACTCCGTAACCCTGATAAAGCCCTAACCCTGAATGTTAGGGTCGAACTCTGATTTGAACCAAAAATAGAAGTTAACTGGTTTGGCTGCATCGGATTTAGAAAAAATAAATGTTTACTAAAAGCAAAAACAAATAATATTATGCTAATAACTTTTGGCTTTTTTCGCTCTCCACGTCACTCTTTTTTCTCTTTTTAACTGCCAATCTTAAAAATAAATCCCCTATTTCCGATGCTCCATCTAAAAAATTAAATATATACATGTGAATACAGTAATGTATTTAAAGCTTTTTAATCTGTTGATTTTTAGAGTATTAAATATAAATAAATTTTTTTGTAAACAAAATTGGAAAAAACTACCAAAAATTACGTAACTTTCTTAATCCTTAATCAAAAAATCTATAATTTTACAATATGATAGAGAAATGAATGTGCTACAAAATAAACTTGGAATTATCTAAAAATGATATGAACAAAAAAAGTTATAAAGGATATAAAATAATAAAGGATATAAAAGTGCCCGGTTTCTTTTGGGTTACCCTGTACATAGGTATACATATCTTTCTGCTTATTTAATAAAGGTTAGTCATACAGAACATTGAATAATTTTTTTAAAATTTATTAGCAGCAAAAATATATGTCCCCATATAGGGGTAAAGAAAGATATAAAGGATTAGGATAATAAAAAGTATAGCAGCCTAAAACCTCCAACGATAAAAGTGATTTATTCATCCAACCTCAGATATCTCTAATAATTTCCTGATTTCCTCATTAATCTTCGGTCTTCTATCACTCTTATTCTTACCACATCGTATCCCAATCTTTTCTAACAAACCTCAAGATCTCTCCAAATCAGCGAAGGTGCAGAAAATTCAAATTTAGACGCCGATCCCTGAAAATCCAAACTCGAAAATCTTGTTCCTACCCAAGTTTTAAAAATTTTAACTTATAAACTAGAGCTACCCAGCTAGAGACGTCGCAAAGTTTGCTTATTTTTGAGAGAAAAACGTTTGCGCTCTGTTCAATAGAAAATACCTAAATGAGTAAACCAGGAAATTTGTAGGGATATCAAAGGTTAGATGAATAAATCATTTTTATCGTTGGAAGGTTTAAGCGGCTATATCTTTATAAGATCCTAATCATTGATATCCTTCATAATCCTTTACGCACATAATAATATTCCTCTAATATTCACAAATAAAACAAAGATTAATATAGATGTACAGGACAACAATCTCTAAGTTTAAATACTGTATGATTTAACTATTTATACTTACATAAAAGATTTCTAAATTATGAATTTTATTTGTTGTTTTTTGCTCTTTAATCGTTAATTTTGTACCAGATAAAATATTTCTAATTACTTTTAAATACGTATTTAGTAAGTATTTAGATGTTTTTTTTGTTAAAAATAAATAAAAATGCAACATTTTCTTTGATATGTATTTCCTGTCATTTTAGAATAAAATTTTTGTTTTTATCTACAAGAATAAATAAAATAAAAATATAAATACAGCTGTAATACAGGTGCTCGTTAACAAAATTTTATTTTTAATTATTTTCAGTAGAAAAGTGATAAAATGGCATTTAAAATACTTGGGCAAAAAATATGAGACGAAAATTAATTTTTTAATGTTTTAAGATTTGTTTCACAATTTTTTTAAATATCCGTATTTTTAGGCAATTAATAAGCCAAACTACGCCTAAAACCTTCATAAATCTAAAAATGCCAGAAGGAATTTTTTGACTAAACTAATAATCCAAAATTTTCTTGAAAATAAATAGAAAGACTTCTAAAGAATAAAGCGAAACAACAAAAAAGGCGAAAATTCGGCGAAAGACTTGGGGCAAAAAGATACAAAACTAGATATATGTACAGGGTGCGGCAAATTAAGCGCGCATTTGTTTTTAACCATAACTTTCTTCAATTTTAATGAAAATTGATAATTCTTTTTTTGTTTTATTCCCAACACTTTAGGAAACTTGCTGATACCAAAATTGCTTTTTAATTTTAAGTTTACTCTGAGTAAACTTCCCTCAAAGTTTGAGCAGAATTTTTTGGATAAAAATTGGCCTAGATTCAAGGCTGAGATTTTAATATTGGAAATGTTTATATCATTCGAATCAGCTCTTCATTCTGATTCGAATGACATAAAAATCATGGGGCTATGACAAAAATTGAATGAGATACGGTCTCTGAATGATAAATTAAAATAATTTTGATAAAAATAAAATTTTTGTGTAAAATTTTCAAAAATGAGATTATAAGCTATTTCGATGCTCCTGAACGAGATGAGTCGTTTAATACCAAAATCATTTGTATTGAACGATTTTGAACGAAGTTATGATCAATTAAACTTTGGCATAAAAAATGTTTTTAAATTTTCCAGACGATCGAACTCGATTATCTTTGCCAACAGTGAACCAAATTTTTAATATTTGGTATCAGCAAGTTTCCTAACGTGTTGGGAATAAAACAAAAAAAGAATTATCAATTTTCATTAAAATTGAAGAAAGTTATGACAAAAAACAAACGCGCGCTTAATTTGCCGCACCCTGTACTAAGTTTACGACTGTAGTATAGTATACCGGAGGCAAAATTTCGATACAACACACATACCATTCGATTCGTCTCGGTGAGCTGAGTCGAATGGTACGCTATACACGGAAATGCCTGTAATCCACGAATATCGAAAAACCATAGGGGAGGGGGAGTAAACACATTTTTGGGGTGAAAAATTCGAATATGGAAATAATAGCTCATTCGAAAGAGCTCATCAAGCTGAGTAGAATAGCACCAAAATCAACAAAATACGACTTGATTTACAGAATTTTTGTCTTACTTTCTAGAAGTAAGATTTTATAAAACCATTGAAATATGTAATTAAATCTAAAATAATTAATCTAACATCTAAAAAATTTTATTTAGTTTTGAAATTAATTTGTTAACTAATTATAGCAAGAAGTCAAATTATAAAATAAAAAATGTTATTTTTAGAAAATAAATTTACTTTTATTTAAAAACTATTTAACTTTAATGCATTTTTTAGATTATTATACAAATCTGGAAGGAAAATTACTGGGGAATTAGTAAATATGTATTTCATTCATCCATTTTTTACTTCCTTTAGGGAATCCCCCTACTTTTTTATTTATATAAAAGCTATGTTTTCAAGATTTATTTTCACGTGAATTACATATGATTTTTTGTACTTAATAAACTAAAAGTTTAACTTTTATAATACATCTCCATCGCTTATAAAAAGCCATGCCTTATTAGATCAGGGATTGGATATCTGGGGATTTGGCCTGCCAAAACTTAGCATTTCTCACCTGGCCTTCCGAAGTTCACAAAATTTTTGCAAAGGGAAAGAAGAATTCTGAGAAAAAGATTTATCTATGTTAAATTAATTTAAGGAATGTTAAATTTAATTTTGAAAAAAAAAATAAAATAATTTATAAATAAATTAAATGAAAATTATTTTTAATTAAAATTTTGCTGCATTAATTGTTGTATTGCTTGTTGAGGATTCTTCATAATTTCAGCGAATGCTTCACTTGGAGTTTGAGTAATATTCGTTGCGGGTCGAGCAGCTTCTTTTTTGTTGTGTTCATAATTTTTTAAAACTCTAAAAAATCGAACTAAATTAATTTTGAAATTATTTTTAGATGACACTTGTCTAAAAAAATTTTTTAACTATGAAAGGTATAGCAGTTGCTTATCCCATCATCCCAGAAATTCCCCAGTTATTTCACTATCTTACAACACAGATAGTAATCACTAATTCTATTGCCACATCCCATTCACATGTTCACTTTTATATCATATGTATCTACAAAAAGTCTTAGCTCGGGACTGGCTAAACATCTCTACAAGCTAGTGTTTGGACAACCAAAATTCTTAGGGAAAATAATAGCAATATGTGCCTAAGTTTATTTGATAGAATGGTCCAAGCATACTTCTATATTCCTATCTATCTATAAAACCTAACCTTCTTGCAAAAACTTCTTTTTCTGAAGGCCAATCACAATCATTTCCTTGATATATTGGTTTTGGGGAATTCCAAAATAATTTTCCTCCAAACCCTTTTTCTATATAAAAATATTTCTAAATTTTTTAGAATTATTTTTACCTTTTAAAAATTCCATAACTTCTTTATTATGTTTTTTAAAGAAAAGCATTACTTCTCTTGCATAGACTGTCAGAGACAATTTACTGGCATCTTTAAAATACGTTTAAAAATATTTTTAAAACAATCATATACTTTAATCAGTAAATAATCTAATAGTGAAACGTGTGACGAAAAATTTCCAAGGACCTTCGATGTCTTATCTTGTATTTCTTATTTTACGCTATGCTTTTCCCTTATTAATTCCTACTCTCTTAAAGCGCCAAAGGCGGAACTTTTGGAGGTATTGAAATTTCTGTTGAGGAACTTTCATTCTTCAGGAACTAGCCAAACCATTTTTTACTTTAATCCTGTTTTAGTCTAATTTTCAAAAATGCTAAAGCCTCTCGGTTCAAGGCCAGGATTCTCGCATGTCTCTACTTATAATTAAATGAAAATTTTCTCAATACCCACCAGTTACAACAATATATTGTATATCTATTTCGTCAATTTGTGTATCATTTCCAAATTTTGGTCCAATCTTGATTATATAAACTAGAAATTATAATTATTGTTTTAAATATTTAATTTTAATATTAATCCTTTACATTGTCTTGGATAAAAATATTCTTCAGTATACATCCAATACTTGCCAGTACCTACTTTATTTAAATCTCTTTTAAAAGTTTCTATCGGTCCATTTTTTGACACTGCACGATAAGCTTCCTTTTAAATTTTTTTAAATTTAATTTTTATTTTTTTCATTAAAAACCTCAATAGAAAATCCATCTTCACCCATCACACTGTTTGGTTTAACTTTTAAAAAATATTTTTAATAAAAAATTTGTTAATTAATTACAATAGCTAACGGCACAATACATTTGCGGCCTGTTAATGTCAAAACTAACGGATGCTTTATAGACTTGAAACCTTTAAATTTTGTTAAGAATAAATTATTTTTATAGTTAATTTTATAAATAAAATATAAGTAAATTTAAAAATTAATTTACAAAAGAATGGGTCAGAATGAAAATTGAAAATTAATTGTCTTGGTAGTGTAAGGCCGAAATAGGATTGAGAATAATGTAACTTTTCTATTGAATCCAGTCTATCAAGTCCATATAATACAAGAAATTAGCGAAGGGAAGGATCAATCGGTTGATCAAAAGATAACAGTCCCATATTATTGCCCGAGCATAGTAAAATGTCGTTGCCTGTTTAATCACTTAATGGGTGAGCGGTGAATAATGCCCAGCAGGACTAACAACAATTATCAAAGTATTCCCTTCATATTCCGCTAATTCTTAACTCTACTATAGGAATGTAGGCCCTTATTTATTAATTAATCCAACCATTTTCCCATAATAAGGGCTGAAGGAACATCAACAGTCTCTGCTGGATTTTGAATCATTTGACCAATACCGCTAATAATTTCAGCAAAATTTTGAATATCCCACTAAATACAAATTTAATTTAATTATTTAAGTAAGCATTTACAGGATTTTCGCCAATAGCATTTACATTAATATTTAATATTAACAATGATAATATAAAATAAAATAATAATTCTGGGAACATTTTAATATATGATATCTTTATCTATTTTTTAGATTTTTAATATTATTTAATAAACAAAAATACATGAAAATTACTAAATAGATATTACATATAGAACAGAAAAATTTTTTCTTATATTTTTATTCTAAATTTTAAATAGAGCGCAGAAAATATATTGAAAAATCTATCCAAAATTATTGTTAAAAATACTGAAAAAATACGTTAATGGTCATTCTCGGTTCTTTTTTGAATGGATAAGCGCAATCCACTCATTTTGCGATTTAAAGTGAACTAAAAATGGAAGGATTTATTGATGGATTTATCCCTTTTTAATAAATTATTTTTGCATTAAAGAGAGATTCAAACAATTTAATTGTGAAGGATGAAATTATTTTAGCAAATTTACCGTTTATATTTTGGGTCAAACTTGTGATGAATAAAAAGGGAAATTAATAATAAAGGGAAATTAATTAATTAATTAATTAATAAATTAATTAATTAATAAAGGGTATATATTTATTTATTTTGTTTGACTTTGACCCCCATATGTACATACATATTTATAAAAACATCCATGACATTATTTTTTATTTAAAAACAAATTTTTCACAAAAATCAGACAACATTTTACATACATATTTTCCTCTAATTTTTAATATTCTTATCTGCAATCATTTTATCATTAATTTTTTATTTTTATTAATTAATTGATCATTATTTCCTTCAAAGTTCATTTGCATTTTAATTTTTACGATTTCAATTCCTTTTTATTTTTTACAAAAACTTTGTTAATACTTATAATTAATACATATCTCCAAATAATTATAAGCTTATCGTCGATTTTAGTGTTATTTGTCTTTTGTCGCATTAGTTGAGCTGTTTTTACTTGATATTTTTTAGTATTAATAAGTGAATATTGTTAATATTGTTAAAAATTTAAAATCTTGTTTAAATATTGTTAATTATTTTATTGTTTTTGATTATTTTTAAATATTTTTATAAATATTGCTTAAAAATTCTATTTGATCCAAATAATGACTAAAAGCCGTTCTCGTTCCCTAATTTAAAATCATTCAAATCTGAATGTGTGTTTGTTGAGGCTGCACTTTAACTCGTGTCCGAATTAGCCATACCTCACCTCAATTCAATATCGTCACATTAACTGTAACAAATGATTTAATTTAAAGTTCTTGTGTTTTTAAGTCATGCATATTAAAGACATGCACTCAATTTCTATCGCATTTTTTAAATATTTTTAATTTAAGAACATCTCCTAATTATCTTTATTTTTGCTAATTAAATATTTTAAATTTACAATTAATTTTTTAATACCCCATTTAAATTAATACCCCGCTCATTATTAAATAGTTGATTGCATGAGAAATTTGCTCTAGTAAAATTGAAAAAAGTGTGCAGATGCTATCATTTAAACTAGAATATTCTCCCTTTCATTTTGGGTACATTTATTGATATTTTTATTTTTTCCTTCCATTTATTTTTATTTTTGTTAAATTTTGTCTGCACCGATTTGATACTTTCATCAATAAATTTTGTAAAATAAAATTTTTCTTATAAAATATTTCACACTTCTTATACCCAAGTAAGTCATAGTTAATTATTTTTAAAGTTCATTAAAGGAATATCTAAAAATGCGCCGAGTAATTAATTCAGCAAATCTAAGAACCCCTTCATCAGTTAATACTTTATCAACTCTTTTTATTATTCGTCATCAAAGCAGAGTTGCTTCTTCTCCATTACAAATAAAAAACGATGAAAATAATTCTTTAAAAATACAAAAATCTTCTCTTAAAAATAATAATATTAATATAAGACAAATAAATTCTGATTGTTTTTCTGATAGGTAAATTAAGTATTTATGAAGATAAATTTAGTTTTCTTGATTTTAGACATAATGGCTCTTGTGGTATGTTAAATAAAAAAATATAATTTTTTATTCAAATTAATTTTCAAAATATATTCTAGAGTTGGAGAAACAGCAAATGCTTCGTTATCTTGGATTTAAGGCAAATATTTAATTTTGAATTAAAGTCGGACCTTACTTGTGTATGTGACCAAAAAATGCATAAATGGGGACCACGTCCATAAAATTCCCCATCCGTGAATGAGGAAACAAACTCATTAGATTTAACTTAGGCAGTCTCCCCCCTCCCTTCCTCAATTCGATTTTTTAAGATTTACAAAATTATCTTAAATTATCCTAAAAATGAATAATTTATACATAATTTTGTTAAAACTTGTTCAATCGTATTATGTTTACACACAAGTTTATCAGTTAGGTCCGATTTTAATTCTTTTAAAATTTTTAAATTTAATCCTTGTAATTTAAACATATTTTTGTAAAGGATTTGGATGAATTAACGAACACAAACGTGCCAGAAAGTATTCGTTTACGTCAAAAATTGGGAAAACATATTCCGGAGGAAGGCGTAGACGAATCTAAAATGTTAAACGAATTAAGAGAAATTGCTTCATTAAATAATCCCTACAAAACTTTTATTGGTAAATTTAAAATAAATTAATTAAAAAGGTTAAAACTATACAATTTTTAATTTATGGCCAATTTTTATCAAAGTCTTAGATTTTCCTGTTGGTAAGGGGTCGAGAGGTCGATCAGATAGGGGTCATCAGGTAAGGGGTCGATCAGAACTCCCTGAATACCTAACCAAAAATTCTCAAATGCTGGGATCCTTTAAAACATAGTCTTACAGATGATTCGTAATAAAAATTAAAAAAAAATTTCAGAAAACTTAATTTTAAAAATCCAAAAAATCCTATTTAAAAAGCGACACTAATTATGACCCGACCTAATAACTATTGAACCTATAACACTGAGCTATTCTTTTTTTATATTTTTGATTAAAAATTAATTAAGTGAATAATTTTTAAAAATATAATTTATTACTTTTTTTATTTTAATTTTATTAATTTTTAGGTATGGGATTTTATGGTATGTTATTATTTGCTATATTCATTTATCAAAAATTTATTGAAAAATAATTTTAAAGATTGTATTGTACCTTCAGTAATTGTTAAAAATATGTTACAAAATGCTGGATGGTGATTAATTATTTTAATCTTTTAAAAATTTAAAAAATAATCGGGGTTACTTTGTCATCCCAAATACTTTAAGCGGACCATGTTTGCGGACAAATTTTTATGTTCTTTCTTCCCTGTCTATGGTCGGCGATTCCTGGGATATCTTAGGATATCCTGAACCGCCTAATATACAACTTACGTCAACTATTGTACAAGATCAAATTTAGTGTAGATTAATTATTAAAACAGAACAGTCTTAGTTGTTGATTTTTTCTTTCTCATGCCTTATTGTGAAAATTTGGGTTTAACATCAAATGAGATATAAATCATCTTTAAAAGCTTGTATTTAATTTTTATTTCTTAAATTTCTAGGACTTCTCCATATACTCCTTATCAACCAGAAATAGCACAGGGACGCTTAGAAAGTCTTTTAAATTTCCAGACTATGATATCTGATTTAACTGGTTTACCCTTTGCAAATGCTTCAGTAAATTAAATTTAAAATTTAATTTCTTTATAAACTCAATTAAAGTTGTTGGATGAAAGTACTGCTTGTGCTGAGGCTATCGCTTTAGCTGTTCGTGTAACTAAAAGGAGAAGTTTGTTTTTACTTAAAATTTATTAAATTATGTTTCCGAGAAATCAACCAATTTTAAATTTTTAAAATAAAAATTTGAAACATTTAATAAATTTTTTTGTCAATAGTTAAAAATTCCAAGTAAAATTCGAAAAATCCACAAAAAATTAGGAACGGACGAATATAGCACAGGATGTTCTCGGTCGAGACACTGGAGCCAAAATCTAGACACAAATTTAAAAAAATCCAGGAAAAATACAAGGCATATTTGGTATGCTGACACGTCTTTACTGAAATTTTGTCCACGGGAATTTTATTTTACGTTGTTAGAAATAGTGATTTTAGTTCAGTTTCAGTCAGTTCAGTCAGATATTTTCTCATAATTAGTGTAGTCAGTTCTAAATAACTTACGATATCCCGAACTTAACCAAAAATCAGAAAAGAAATATACTCATTTCTTAGATTTTTTGATAACCCTACTCTTAACAAATTTATTTCAGCAATTTTTTATGATACTGGATTACATCCACAAAATATTGGTGTAATGGCTACACGTGCAGAACCAATGGATATTAATTTTCAACCATTGGATATTAATGAAGGAAATGTTAATAAAAAGTTAGAAGATAATGTTGCTGCAATTATTTTACAATATCCCAACACAGAAGGGTTAATTTATGAAGATTTGGATTTATTAATTCAATATGCACATAAAGAAAAGGTGAATAGATAATTTTATAGAAATTATTGAAGTCAAACTGATATAACTTCGAGTTCCGAATTCTCTCGAGGATTAAGCAAATTATGTTAATAATAAACACAATTTTTGCTAATAATAAATATGGAAAAATATTAAAGAGGGCAAATACAAAGGTCCGGCCAGATTAGATATGTATGATTAGTTCTTATATTTAAATAATGATCATCTTGATTGAGAAAGAACCACATACTTTTACATACATATGTAAAAAAATTTGTAAAAAATATTTTATATTAATTTTTAGATTCTCGTTATAATGGTTTGCGATTTACTTTCCCTCACACTTTTACGTTCTGCCGGAGATTTGGGTGCAGATTTTGCAGTAGGTAGTGCTCAACGGTTTGGACTTCCTCTCGGTTATGGTGGCCCTCATGCTGGTTTTATGTCTGTTGCCAATTTAGCTTTGGCTAGACAAATGCCTGGAAGAATTGTTGGAGTTTCTAGGTGTTTTTGGAAATTAATAGAGAGCGAGCTGGATCTGGATCCAGACCTTGATTTTTCCTGGATCCAGAGTCCAGATCAAGGCATTTTTCAGCGTTCCTTGATTTTTTCTTGACCTTGATTTTTCCTTGACTCAAGGTCAAGAATCTGGTCAAGGTCGTTACTTAAAATCAAGGTCAAGGATCAAGGTCAAGGTTTTTTTGAAAATCTCGCTCTCTAGAAATTATTTGAGCTATTTTTATCAAATTTTTAGAGATCAACAGGGAAATATTGCTTATCGTTTAACTCTCCAAACTAGAGAACAGCATATTCGAAGAGATAAAGCAACCTCTAATATTTGCACTGCTCAAGCACTTCCTGCTAATATTTCTGCAATGTTTGTGATTTTCAATTGTTTGGGGGAGAGATACATATTGAGAGATTTTTAGGAAAAATTATTTTTGAATATTTAAGGTATGCAATCTATCATGGACCCAATCGTTTAGTTTATATTGCCAAAATGATACATAAAGCTACATCATTTCTTTCTCAAAGTAATTTGATTTTGTTCAGATTTTGTAAGAATTTAATGTTTCCTCCTCACCAGAGGTGGGTCGGAACAGTCAGAGGTGTCGGAAATCGGAAGAGCCGGAAATCGGAACTGGCTCAAAAGTCGGAACTTGGAAATCGGAAATCAAAATTTTTTCGGAAATCGGAAGGAAAAAACGCCTGAATTAGGAATTCCGGATTCCGACCCATCTCTGCTCCTCACATCATTTTTATCAATCATTTATTTTTATCATTTACAGACAAACATTTGTTCCCCTCATTAACATTCATTTTGAGAAGCTGGTATTAAATACCTCCTCCCTTAATTAAAATACTGGAGGAAAAATTCGAATGAAAGTAAAAAAGAAAAATTAATTTGTGCCTCAAAAAGGGAGGGGATGCATATTAAATAAGTACCATCAAAATAATATTTATCTTTAAATAATTAAAAATTTAAATTTTTAAGCCCTAAAAGCTAATGGAATTCAAGTTGTCCATAAATGTTTTTTCGATACATTAAAAATCCTTCCATTAAATAAGCAATTATTTGATTTTAAATGTGAGGAGAAAAGAATAAATGTTAGAAATTATAATGATGGATATATTGGTATTTCTTTGGATGAAACAACAAAAAGTATTTTTAAAAAAAAATATTTTTTTAAATTAATTTTTATAAAGTTGGTGATATTTGTGATATTCTTTATTTATTTGGAATTAATATGTGTGAGGTAAATTTGAAATTATTATCAGAGGTTGACATTATTGTCAGGACTGGTATCCATGGTTTTTTTCTTATAAACTGGCTCTTGGACATTTATACGCAAGACCCGGTCCTGGACTTTCCCGGGCTGATCACTGAACCTCCCCCACCTCAAAACAGACTTTATCAAAATATTCGCTTTACGGGCAATCGGGCCTTGAAAAATCTGATTCTGGCCAGTGTTTAGTTCTAATTATAATTAAATTAATTAAGAATTAAATTCATTTAGAAAGAAATTCAAAATAAATTAATGGAAACTTCAACACCCTTAATTGGTAATTCTCTACATTCTAGACATTCACCTTTTTTAACTGGACACGTATTTAATAGTTATCATAGTGAAACTCAGATTATTAGGTGAATAATTTTTAATAATTTTATCACATTTTAAAATTGAAATCAGCTAAACTTACGTGTTTATTATTGAACCTGTAAGCCGTCATAAGTTCATTTATTCCTATGGTAGGGCCCAGACCTTAATTTTTTGTACTTGCGGGCAAGGATACTAATTTTGGTACGAATATACGAATAACTGTTATGGCAAAAAACAAACTTTTCCAATCGAAAAATATTTTTATTAATAACGTTAAATAGAGACCGGACCGAGACATGATCTCGATCGAGAATCACGGTTATCGATATCGAGAATTTTTCTAGATCTTGAGTCCTATCTCTAATCGTCTGATTTCTAATGAGTCCGATCTTTAAAATGATCCTGTCCAATCTCTAATTTTAAATACCTACCTAATTTATTTAAAGATATATGAAAAGGCTTGAAAACAAAGATCTCTCACTTGTACATTCAATGGTTAATATAATTTTATTTTTAAATTAATTTTTAAAATTATAGATTCCCCTCGGTTCTTGTACAATGAAATTAAATGCAAGTTGTGAATTAATTCCTGTAAATTTCTTAAAACTTTAAATTTTAAAAAATTATTTAAAGATAAGTTGGCCAAAATTAGCTAATATTCACCCTTTTGTACCTACAGAACAAGCAAAAGGATATTCTAAAGTATTTTGAATTAATTAGTTTAATTCTTATTTTTGTTAGATTTTTAATGATTTGGAACGTTGGTTGTGTGAACTTACTGGTTATGATAAATTCTCTTTACAGCCAAATAGGTACTAGTATATATGTAATTATTAAGGCTGTGATTTATAGGCAAATGCCTATTTTTTCTGCAAGCTTGGGATGATGTAATACGTTCAAAAAACGTGTTTTTAGCTTGGTCCGAAGAGTCTAGCACGACTTTTAATTTGCCTATTTCTGCCTATTTTGGACTTTTTGTGCCTTCTTGCCTATTTTGAATTTTTTGGTACTATTTTTGCCTTTTTAGCGATTTTTTTCGAAATTTTGCCTAAAAATCAGTGCAAAATCTAAAAAAATCAGTCCAAAATTGGAAAAAATCAGTCCATAGTCCCATTATTGATTTTTAGTTCGTTAAATTGTTTATTTTTACTTTGTTGGACATTTTGAACTGGGACGATTTGGTTTTGGGACGTTTTGGGGTGCGGCGTTTTGTGTGTTGGACGAGATTTCCATTTTGTCGATTATCGACATTTAAAAAAAATTTACTCCATTTTTTCAAAAAATGATTCAAAATGTCGTTTAATTGGCAAAAGAGTTTAATAAGTAGTTTATAATACAGAAAATGATGAGTAAATGGATATTTTCTTGCTTTTTTCTTAATTTTATAGGCCTGATAACCTTTTTTACATGCCTATTTTTGTGCCTTTTTTGGCTTTTTGGTGCCTAATTTAGGCGCCTATTTCACTGATTTTACTTGCCTAACTATCACAGCTTTAGTAATTATCAAAAAATAATTTTTGATGTATAGACAAGGATTGGGGGCCCGATCCGGCCTAGTCCGAAAGATCGAGTCGGGTCTTGAATTTTGGCACGAAAAAGGCTTGATCGGGTCGGCCCCATATAAATGAGGCCCGAAAAAATGACTGAACGTCGGCCCGACTCGAAAACACCAACCCTAGTCTAGACAATTTTAATTTTTTTAATTTAGTGAATTTAACTAAGAATATTTAATATTTATAGATAAGCTTAACTCTAGACTTCTGAAATGAATTAAACCTTTGTCTTAAGTAAATTCTTCTTTAGAATTTATTTTAGTTTAAGCATTCCCCCTCCCCCATCCGCTCCATTTTTCATTTATTCGGAACTCTCATCGGGCCTTGTCTAATTCAGATTAGCTAATTGTTATTTACTAGTAAGTCACCTTCTTTACTAGTCTCCGAACTAGTCAAATTTTTGAGATTAAAATTCAATAAGTAAATGAGGGTAAAACCAAAATTATTTTCAGTCTAACCCATTCAACTTACATATTTTTTTGATTTTTAAAATTTTTTAAAATGAAATATTCTTTTATCAAATTTATTTCAAATTTTTTAGTGGAGCTAACGGTGAATATGCGGGTATGTTGGCAATTCGTGGTTATTTTCATTCTAAAGGGGAGAGCCAAAGAAATGTAAATTTGTTTAGGAAAAAGTTCTTTTGAATAAATTAATTAAAATTTAAAGATTTGTTTAATCCCTGTATCTGCCCATGGAACTAACCCAGCTACTGCACATATGGCTAATTTTAAAGTTGTTCCGGTTGAATCGGATAAACATGGAAATATTAATTTTAAAGATCTCTCTGCTAAAGTACTATGTTAAAATTAAAATTCAATAAATATATTTAAGTGTGAACGTTTTTCTAATGAATTAGCATGTGCAATGATTACATATCCTGTAAGATTATTTTTCATAATTATTTTATCTTACGCCCCAATAAATTCTAAATTTATCATTTCAAAAATTAATTTTTTAATTAACAACAAAATCGGTCTTTTCAATTTAGTTTTAAATAAACTAAAATTATAGAATCTTTAGGGCTGTTAGTATTAAATAATATGGTAACATCCAATTTCGAACCCATTTTTTCTACCTACATACTGAATACTTGAGGCTCTCAAGCGATATCTGAGTATCAAGGGATTTGACAGGATTAAGTGGGTTATCGGTGGATTTGGAAGGCTAAAGGGATTTAAATAAGTAGGCGTTTGGAGCGATTTATATTTATTTTTGAGACCCAGGGGGCTCCGGGTCGAACTCTAGCTATAATACACAAGCACAATATTTAACAATAAAATCAAAAACCTAAGTTCTCAAAAGGCAGATATTTAATTATTTAATTGCTTACAAATCTAACTTTTTCTTCAAAAATCATTTATTTAATTTCTAATATTTTAAGTCAACTCATGGAGTTTTTGAATCACAAATTAGAGAAGTTTGCAATAAAATACACGAAAATGGTTAAATTATTTAAATTTAATTTTTGAAAAAAAAGTATACCAAAGGTGGTCAAGTTTATTTGGATGGTGCTAATTTTAATGCTCAAGCATGCCTTTGCAGACCTGGAGATTATGGAAGTGATATCTCCCATTTTAATTTACACAAAACTTTTTGTATACCTCATGGTGGTGGAGGACCCGGAATGGGACCAATTGGAGTGTATGTTGTTATTTTAAAGAAATAAATGATTATATGGGGAGAGTTGAGTATTTTGACAAATAAAAACATTAATTATTTTAGAGGAAAAATTTTAAGTAAAATTTTTAAATTTTATTTAATAATTTTAAACAAACATTTGGCCCAATAATTAAATATTGAAGGAGGACAGTCCTTTTTTAATAAATTTTGGGAAAAGGACTGAACAAAGAAGGGTCTTTGGAACATGACTCTTGTTCCAAAGACTTTCTTGAAGTGTTTTCTTTCTTGGTCTTGCGGCTAACTCTTGTTCTTGGTGTCCAGCTTGATTCATGGAAATTTCCATGAAATATTTCCAAGAGTTCCTTCTGAACCAAAACAATCTTCCCATCAAATTTAAATAAATTATTCAAGTAAATCACATCTTGCACCTTTCCTACCTGGACATTCAATAATACCACAGAATAGAGAAAGACTTGATGGCGTTGTGAGTGGTGCACCTTGGGGAAGTGCCAGTATTTTGCCAATTACTTGGGCATATATTAGATTGTAAAATAATATTTTTTTGATATTTAATTTTTAAATTGTTTTTTAAAGAATGGGTATTTCTGGTTTAAAAATTGCCTCTCAAATGGCTATACTTAATGCCAATTATATGGCAAAAAGATTAGAAAATGCTGGTTATCGAGTTGTTTATAGAGACGAACGAGGCTTAAACGCTCATGAATTTATTATAGACTGTAAACCTTTCAAGCAATTTGGTATTGAAGTGGATGATATTGCTAAACGTTTAATGGATTTTGGATTTCATGCACCAACAATGCATTGGCTAGATTTTTAAATTTAATATCAGAGAAGTCTCTTAAAATTTTCTGTAGGCCGATTCGAGACAGTTTAATGATCGAACCAACAGAGAGTGAAGATAAAGCAGAATTGGATCGGTACTGTGATTCTTTGATTGCAATCAAACAAGAAATAGAGCAAATAGCTAAAGGACAACTACACATTGATCTCTACAAAGTAGGGATG